GGGAAGGAAGGGGGGGGGAAGGGGAGGGGAGGGAAGGGAAGGGAAGGGAAGGGAAGGGAAGGAAAAAACATTAAAAAGATGCAGGAGTGGGGAATTTTTGTTAAAAAAATGTAGATTGAAATAGGTAGGTTTATGGATTTTTACAGTGTGGGTACTTCGCTATGGCAGCCAAGGGATGTAGTAGATAATCCATCACTTGGGTTCTTTAAATCCAGGTAGGTTGTATTGTTTGAACTGTAATGTAATTCAAATCTAAAATGTTAATCTTGGAGAAGGAATCTCTTCTACTCTGCAAGAGGCCAGGCAGGCCCCTGTGATGTTCCTTTCTGGTCTGTAAGTCTACAAATTTTGGTCTGATTCGTGTTCGTCTTTGTGCACTTCTGAGCCAAGGTGTACAGAGAGCAGGAAGGACCAGGTCCTCCCCCCAACCCCTCAGCAGAACTGAAGTCCTGTTGGGGCTCCCGACAGACGTGTTAACAATACGGTAATATGAAATCTTTCTTTGTTCCAGCATGGGCCTGTATTCACAATATTCGCTCTGGGAAAACGGTTTACTTTTGTGACTGAGGACGAAGGCACTGAAGCATTTTTTAAATCTAAAGACTTAAATTTTGAACAGGCAGTACAACAAGCTGTCGAGAATGCAGGTAAATGAGACCTAGCTCCTTTGTAATGGAGTTCAGATCTAGTTACCCATTAAAGCCCAATCCAAAGCCCACTTGCTTTTTGATCATGACTTAAATGCTTATCTTAACCCATGACCGTGCTTACGAAATGAAGGCAAAATGAAATTCCTTCATGTGGATCCAGCACTGTATGCCTGCTAAGTGATTTGGATTCAGTCTCAAGGGATCAAAGGTTTCTGAACCAGGGACTGTTACTACTTTTATCATCAAGCAACCCCAGTTTGAGATCAGGTCCTTTTCTGTGGCTAGGCACTCCACCTATGCGTATCAGATTTGAAGCAATAGTATCTTGTCCTATCACATAATTTGAAAATCAGCTTGTAGCAATAATTAGCTGTTACCCTGTAGTACAACAGTCATTAGAAAGGGATGAGGTATATATCCCATCCGCAGTGGCATGCTCCATCAGCTCCATTCCATATGCTTATATACACATGGAATCACACAGACAGGAATTCTTTGAGTAGTTTGGCAACTTTGGAGTGTGAAATGAGAGAGAGGCAAGTTGGCAGAGAGATTAAATCACAGAATCACAGAATCCCTGTGTCTGGAAGGCACCACTGGAGATCGCCTAGTCCAAGCCCCTGCTGGGAGCAATGTCAGCGACAGCAGGTTGCTCAGGGCTGTGTCCAGTTGGGTTTTGAGTATCTCCAAGGATGGAGACTCCTCAGCCTCTCTGAGCAACCTGTTCCTGTGTTTGACCATCCTTATAATAAAAACTTTTCTATGTCTCAGTGGAATCTCCTGTATTCCCATTTGTGCCCATTGCCTCCTGCCCTGAGAAGAGCCTGGCCTCATCTTCTTTACTCCTACCACCAGATATTTATCCACACTGATAAGATCCCCCTGAGCCTTTTCTCCTCCAGGCTGAACAGTCCCAGCTCCCTCAGACTCTCCTGGTATGACTATAGCATGAAGACCCAAACTGTTTTTTCTTGGATTAATTTTTTTTCATATCAGTCAGTTTTGTGGAGCACATGCACATCTCTGTACATCCATGTGGAACCTGGGGGGGAATCTCTGGATTGTTGGTTCTGGCACTGAAGCTTCATGAGGCAGGAAGATGCTGCACAGACTGGTAGAAGCGAGAGCTCACCAAAATCTTTATGGCGTTAGAAGGAAGCTTTCTGGGAATTTCACTCTGGAAAATGAGGGTTAAGGCATTTAAATTAGAGTCACAATTTGTGTGTAAAAATTTTCACTCTTATCTTTCAGTGAAAATCTACTTCATCTACTTTCCAAAACATTTCTGTTTCTTTTTGTATTTAGTTTCTGTCCCTGCAGAAGCATTTTATCAGAACCATGGTAACCTCTACAGCATGTTGAAGGGAAAAATGGGTCCTTCTAATCTGCACATGTTCACGGGCACTTTGTGTAAGGAACTACATGAGCACATGGCACACCTGGGCACAGAGGGCACAGGCGACCTCAACAAGCTGGTAAGGTAAGGGAGTTTTGCAGCACATCTCTAACGCATGGGAAACCTATATGGGAGCAGAGATGCTACCGTAAAGCAGGTGGAGCTCAGGCTCACAAGTCTTAGAAAAGCTGTGTCAGGATACTCCTCACTGTGGAGGCTCATTCAGGTGGCTCACAGAATGGACAGGGTTTCATCCAAAGGTGTTTCTCCCAGCTAGGAGAAACATCTGAATTACTTATCTTGAAGAAAAAAGAAAAAACAGCATCTCCCAACAAACCCTGTTTCCCAAAAGATGGGATAAAAGTTTCACATGTTTATAAAGAACTTATGAACAGACAATCAGCAGGATGAAAACTTTCCCTGCGTGTTTTGGGCCAAGCCTAGAACAAAATTTAAATAAGATTTCTGCAACTGACTTTGCTGCCAGAACTTCATCCTTCATGTCAAAAAATCCCTTTACTGAAGAGTTTCATGTGACAACAACAGAGCTTTAAACTCCTCCTTCTTCCTGATCATCTGGAACAACACCTGTATCTTGCCTGTCCATCAGGACTACAAGTTGAATATTGCCTTTGGCTTGGACCTGTTTCTAAGACCTCACATCCAGGTTATCTTTTGCTGACTTCTGCATAATACATCTAAGATACAGCTTTTTACTGCAGGTAAAGCACTGAGTACCTGTCACTTCAATTACGTAATTGAATTCCCCAGTAATTTGGATTAACTGGGGAAAAATGTGGGGGAAAGGGGCTTTGAAATCTCCCAGCCCTCAGTCCCACAGGTCTCAATAATGAGGTGCAAACCCCCACATCCCGTGGTGTTCCCCCACCAAAGTCTCATCTGCTTCTTGTGAAAAAATGGACAGTCATCAAATTGGTACCGTGCTACGCCGCTGCCTGGTATGCTAATATTGGCTCACATTTCCTTGTTATTCCCCTGTCTGAATCCATCTGTGGTCTTTTACCTGGACTCAAGTTTCTGAAGGTAGTGATGGACCTCTTGTTCTGTGCTGTACTGGCACCGGCACAGACTGTGGTCCACAACATGGCATGGGTGCCCGTGGTGGCATGGGTGTACAAATCATACATGAAGCATGAAGCTTGGCTCCCTACTGCATCCCTGATGCAGCCTTGGGGAACAGGACATTCTACCCACTGCCATGGCTGTCATGGGCACTGGTCATCAAATCCGAATCAGCTGCTATTTGTCTAAAATTAAAAAAAAAAGCCATAGCCTAAATGATAAACTACAGAATCCGTAAGAGTCATCCACAGTACATATGTGCTGAGTGTGATCTGTTCGTATGGTTTTGCCAGACAACACAGGATAGAAGAATTGGAATGCAATGCCCTGGATAACTGTTACTTAGCTGCCTCAAAATTAAATCCGTAGAGCCAGCAGGTGGCTCCATCCTCCTGATGATCTCTGGAAAAGCAAGAAAGTGAAAAGAGCCATTGCCCGAAATACGCGTTTAGCAGTTGCTGGAACCCAGCAGAGACTGCATAAGGGTTTCTCAGAGCTCAAGAGTACAGGTAAAGTGGCCTGGGAAACGAGCTCAGAGTTTGCAGGATAACAGAGGAGCAAAGAGGGAAGGAGAGAGAGAAAAAGAAAACAAAAAAAACATCGTTCAGTCCAGCAGAGCTGCAGCCGGAGGAAGGATTTCTTGGGGTGTCTGGTTGCAGAAGGGGTTGTGCAGTGCCCGGGAGGTCCACATGGGCTAACCTGAAATAAGAGGAGTGGTTAATGGGAAGAAGGGGACATCAGAGCCCAGAGCCTTCCTGCCACTGCTCAAGTGACCAAACGCTGACTGATGAAGTTCAGCCACATGCAGAGGACTAGCCTGAGGTCCATGTATCTCCCAGCCTCTGCTTAAAATCTGCAGTAAGGGTGTGAGTGAGGTATGAGCCTTGTGCCAGCCCTTCCATACTGGCGTGATGCTTGAGTCCCGCACTTCTAGCGTTGGCAATTCAACACGCTGCGTCCTGACCTAAAATTGCTACAACAGCTTCCCTGTGGCCTGTAAGTCACGGGGATTTTGTCCTTGCAGGCATGTCATGTATCCAGCAGTGGTGAACACTTTGTTTGGGAAAGGCATCTGCCCGACAAGTCAGAGTGAAATCAAGGAGTTTGAAGAACATTTTCAGAAGTACGATGAGGACTTCGAATACGCTTCTCAGATGCCGGAGTGCTTCCTGAGGTAACGGAGCGGAGATGATGCACATGGTGTACCCATTACAGGCATTTTGCTTGCTGGGGTATCAACCGCGAGAGACATTTCCCCTGGAGGATGATGCGCTGTCTTTATCGATGGTGCACCCTCAGGTCAGGCAGGCTTTCAGAGGTGCTTCAAGAAAGTTTTGACCTTGTCTCATGTATTTTCCTGGCATAAAGCAGAAACAACCTTGCTTAGGTGGGCAGGGTCCAGCCTGGACCTGTCAGGGAGCAGAAGAACCGGGCAAAGGGCAAAGGCCTGAGCCTAAATGTGAGTCCCAAGCTGAGGGGGTCCCCAACGAGGCATCTCCCTGCTCCTTCCCACACCTTAGCTGTTTTCCCAGCAGACTGATCCCAGGTTACGTAGCTGCACTGTCACACAGCTGACCTTGGGTAGAGGCAACCAACCTCCAAGGAAGGGAGCCTGTCTGTGCTCTCAGGGCCATGACAGCATCTTGAGCACCTCAAAATAGCCTTCAGAAAAAACTAAGGATGCTCTAAAAATGTGGCCTTTATTTTCTCAGGGGAGGTCATTCTTGAAAAGATTGACCTAAGCAATTGTCCAAAGCCACAATGAAAACCCGTAGTAGAATAGATAGGAAAATCACAGGTTCTGGCTGCAAGATGAGGTCTGGCCAAGATGAAGTCAACACTACTGTCAGTCAGACTGACACTTGACTATTCATCAACTGACTGCTGCCCAGGGGCTTTTGGAAAGAAACCAAGGAGTCCTTCTCATGGAAAAAGAAATGTTGGTTTGTGCTGCCTCAGTTAAGTGCTTCTTGTTTGTTGGTTTTCTTTACAGGAACTGGTCTAAATCAAAAAAATGGCTTCTAAAATTATTTGAGAAAGTAGTGTCAGATGCTGAAAGGACCAACCCTTCAGAGACCACATCCAAGGTAAACATCCGAGGGTATGAAATAAGATGACTTCGTTGTATATTCTGACTGAAGGAATGGAGGGCAGGAATTATTTCAGTACTGGAGGAAATAAGCCAAATATGTCAGCTTTGATAGCTGTACCTTAATTGTCAGTATTGCTGTCACCTACATTAGGACAGACCCATAACTTTGATCCTACTCCTCAATTTAGTTTATTTCCTACAATTCTGAGAATTGACATCTTCCTCTGGGGAATTTTAAGCCAAGGGTTCAGAGCTATGACCCATCGCAGCCTCCGGTATCGCAGTTGCAGTGAGCAGTTGAAAAGGGTGAGAGAAAGACCTCTTCAGTTGTTTCTCTGAGGGCACCGCGCTGTGAAATTTCAAAACCTTGTATGTACTATTTTTAAACCCTGGTGTAGAGTGAGTAGATCCTCCAGCAGCCAGACTAGTAGAAAATAGCAGATTACTGGATTGGAAGCCAAGTACCCTAAATATTGATTGTGTCAAAGCTGTGATAAGTTGTCCCCCTGGTTATTCTCCGTAGCTATGGCAGGAATTCTGTCTATAGGGCTGACAAACGCGAGGGCAGACTGGCCTGGGAATTTTGATTTACCAAATGATTATAGAACAGATCATTAAACAAACCAGGTTTTATTTAGACTTTAAAAGCTTTACATACCACAATTTCTTTCATAAAATAAACCAGAATAATGGAAAAAAAGAGAGGGCTGGAGAGGGGATGGTGGGAGGTAAGAAGGTGCAGGAAATAGGAGGCACGAACTCGGTGTCTTAGAGTGGGTGAGAATTTGGAGAAAAGACTGGTCATTTTTTATTCAAGGTCAGCCTTTTCCCCTCTGAAAAGTAGACAGGAAGCTTTGCCTTGAATGCATGGTTGCCCTGTATTTAGGGAAATATTACAAACAAAAGCTGATCCTAGAACATTATACAGTTGCTATAGTTTCAAAGAGTATCAGGTCGTTGAAGTCACTGGTTAGGTCACTAACAAAGCACCTGGAACTAGGGAGTTTCCTCATATATCAAACCATTTCTTCATAACAAGCACCTTTTTGGCAGGAACAGAGAGAACATTTTCTTCATTTCCATTAATTCAACTTGTTCAGTCCCACTTTCAGGTTCTTTAAAGTAGAGAAGTAGAGCAAGAATTAAAAAAGAATAGAGATTTCTTTTTTCTTTCTTCCACATACAAGCAACAATGGGGAGTGAGGGAACCAAATCCCCTAAAAACTTCAAGAAAACGGAGGGCAGTACAAGTATTCAGTAGGGATTCACGTGGTGCATTGACTACTTCTGGCCCTCTGCCTATGAGTGAGTCTCATTTTCTCTTAACAGCTGTCATCTCTACTTTGTGACTGCAAAAACCCCATAACTAACATTACTTCTCTTTGATAAACTAGTCTTACATTGTATCCTTGAATTCTAGTAAGCCCTACCCTAAACTAGATTTTAATATCTTTTTGGAAATACACATTATTAACTTTTATTTATAACAGACACTACTGCAACATCTCCTGGATAACTTGCAAGGAAAACATCTAGCTCCCAATTATGGTCTCCTAATGCTCTGGGCTTCCCAAGCAAACGCTGTCCCTGTAAGTACATCAGCTAGAGAAACACTTTCTCTCTATCCTGTTCAAAAGCCTGTATTTGGGAAGCAAAGACTTTGAACCAGAGGTCACACACACCACATGTATTCCAAAGAAGGGATTATCACGCCCACATGCATCACTACACATATACCCAGGCTGCAATGTCACAGAAGCAATGACAAGAAAAGCTCTTCTTGTATTTTTCCTAAATCATTATGTCCCCTATCATAAGATTTCAGGAACATAAGTCTTAGAGCTATTAAGATCACAGTCTTAAGCTGTGGAGAGCATTTAACTCTATTTTGAAGCACTGTGGCTGTACTATAGTAAAGACACTATTTTAAATAGCCTGGTGTTATCAATTGTAAAGAATATCAAAAGCATAATATAGAGTAACTTCATCTGTGTGTAAATCCTTGAGTGAATTTGGCCCTTTCGCTTTGGGGGATCTGCTGTACAAATGCCAGTGTTGCTTCAGGGGAAGAAAAGCAAGAGTTTGATTCTACTGCCACTTAAGTTTTGTCTAGGTTAGAAACGGATTTGACAGATTAATGATACAGATATATGTATGCTAACGAGCCCAATATATCTAACACAGCTTAGGCTGACCAAAGACATTTATAGGAATTTCTCAGATGAAAAATCCATAGCAGCAAAACCATCTTTTATTTACCATGACTACTAAGCTCTTTCCAGCACAGTTATGTCCGTTACAGATGTGATTTAGAAAAAAATGATAGTGAGTTATTTTCGTATGTACTCCTAATGGATATATATCTATGTTTTTTGTAGACTGGATATTACTACAATTTACCCTAAAGGAATTTCATCCATTTCAGTGAGGTTTCTGTGGATTCACGTGTTGGTATAAGTGAGAGGCATAGCCTGCTGTCTGTTATCAGGATAACTGACATTCCTTCCACAACACTATCATTACTTACTTCTGTAATATTCTGCTGTAAATAGACATACAGATATTTCGTTGTTTCTCAGAATAGTCACAACCACTGTTCTGGTGACTGGAATGATGAAAAAAGGCCTTTCACCTTCTAAGGGGATTTTTTACAAGCGCGTCAAACCTTTTTATCTGAAACAATTCAGTTATCCCTCCTCAGCCCATGGAGTGAAGCCACGGTGTCCAAGTGCTGTACAAGAAAACTAAGCTACCAGATTTGTTTTGCAGAAGGAGGGCTGCATCCACGTGGGGCTATTTGGGAAATAACAGTAAGAGTTCTCATCCCTCACCAGCACAGATGGCCTGTGACCAGATCTGCGTGCAGACTGCATCTGCCGCTAGCTCAGCAAGAGGAGAGAGACTCCTGGCAGTGCTGCGAGTCCTTCTGGTTTCATCCTACTTAAGAGGATTTTCTCCTTTTCTAAATTTCTTGATTTTCAACTCCATTGCATAATCAGTTAGCAAATTATTTCTAAAAGGGATATACTACTGCTTGTTTTGCTGTTAATTAAAACTTTTCCTGCCCATTTTAGTGCGACTCACTGTGACAATGCCCTGCAAATGATTTCACCTCATTTCTGCTAATATTAGTAGGAATTTACTATTTAATTTTTCTTCCATTCATGCAGCTAAATCTAATCACACACAATGATTTAGTAATTCATTTTAACACCTAGTTATTTGAAATTAAAGAAAGGATTCTGTGTTTCAAAGCTCAAAGCCAAAGCTATGTTCACTGAAGTACACAGCAAATGACTAGACCTAATCTCCCAGGATCTGAGCCCGTAGATGTGGATTTATCCTGGAAGCACAGCTCCCTGTGCATCCCAACTACAACAGGCACATCCAAAAAAGTAAAAATGTTTTCACCTCCCTCTGTGATTTGCTACAAAGATACTGTAATTCTGTTCCATATTCCTGAGTTGAAGTACTTTCATCTCTGTTTAGATTGCATTCTGGACTCTTGTTTTCATACTTTCTTATCCTTCCATTTACAAGAAAATCATGGAAGACCTGGCTTCTGTTTTTGGCAAAGCAGGTAATAAATTCCATCATGTCCTTCTGGAACCTAGAAATGATTTTTTCTGTGTTGGCCAATGGTCAATGGCTGGGAATAATGAATGTTGCTGCTGAGGGTAGTACTGATAACATAGGGTCCAGCTCTGAGTTCTTCACTCAGCAAATGTTCAAGACATATTTTTAAGCAAAAACACCTTTGATGTTAGCAAAAGAAGGTAGAAAAAGAGCCGTATGTATTTGTCGCTTCATTCCACATTTATCATTTAGACCTAGTTTTGTATTAACCAGTCTTGTGCTTTTTTCATGCATCTCTGATAGGGTCAGATGAGGTCTCTCAATTCAGCTGCTTTTCATGGTGTGATGTTCACCAGAGTTACAGCTATTCTGTGGAAAAACAGGCCAGGAACTGTTCTCTTTTCTCTCATCTGAGGCCAATTTGTCCAGCATGATTCACCCCCATATGTCATTCACATATGCAGTCCCCTGAACAATGCTTAGACTTTCATGGAAGACTCTTAGTTGACATGGGTCAAAACCACATCAAGGAACATGTCAATAATTAACCAATAAGGATAATCATGAACCAGCCTTTCTCCTGGCCCTATTTTATTTGCTAGTGTTAACATAGCCCAAGAGCTCAGCCTTGACTACTTGTCTTGGTGCCTACAGTCCCCAAGATTCCCCATGCAGTGTCCTACCAAAGTACTGAAAAAGTCCAGGGACTCTTAACTTTCAAGATGACCTTTGTTTGGCCTCTTCTGGTGAATGCCATATCTACATCTGCCTTAGAGTTACTAAATTATTACTAAATTATCTTCGGTGACTTTTCTTAAATTGTACTGATTTTGGTCCATTTATTTACTTTGAAAGATAAAGAAAATTTCTGGGTGTAAACAAGATCTTAAAGTCTTGAGGTATTCAGTCAGAAGGTCTAAAGCAAGACATGTCAGCATGTATCAAAACAAGTATGAAATCTAATTTTTACACGGAGTCTTCTTTCTCATGCCACAACAGGTAAAGATAAAATAGAAGTCGCTGAAGAGGACCTTAAGAAGCTCCCTTTTATTAAATGGTGCACTTTGGAAGCCATACGGCTGAGGTCTCCAGGTGCAATCACCAAGAAAGTAGTAAACCCAATAAGAATTCAGGTGAGTTTCTTTTTTTTTCCTTTTTTTTCCTCTCTCTCTCTCCCCCCACACCCTCCACCCCCCCCCGATGCTATATGATTTGTCTGGAAAGTGGCCTCCCAATAGATCTAGATAAAATTAAAATTAAAATAGTAGAGATATTCCACAATCTCACAGTTTAACAGATTTATTCATCATCATTATTTTAATTGTCATTAATTTAAGAGTGGTTTTGCTTCTTTTGCTAATAGTCTTACCTTCAGTTTTGAACTGAATTTAAATTAAACTGAATTGAGCTGGAGATACTGTGCTGATGCTATATGAAATAGTAATCAGACAAAACAAATACAGTAAAAGGCACTACGATTTAGTAACTGATAAAACTCTTCTTTTCTGTTTGTTCTGTTCAGTGCCGTTTAGAGGGGAAGTGCCAGCGTTCAGGAGTCTAACAAATAAATGTTTGGGAGAAAAACACTCTCTCTTAAGGAATCAGCACTCATGCCCATTTAAGAAATAACTAAAGTCCCACAAAGGTCTATTTTCAAATAAGTCTTTCTATGAATTTCTTTGGGTTTTGAAGGAAGTGCTTAACAAGAGATTTAGGAAAAAATACCAGTTCACATGGTATAACAAGAAGTGGAAAAGACAGAAATAATGTTTCTATTATTTCTATACCTGAAAAACCAAAACAAAAATAGTCTTTCCACATTCTCCACTGTTTAGGTCTTTCTTATGGAAAAAAGGGAAACGGCAAGAAGCAGCTTTAAACATGTAATATGCCCACCATGGCTTTACCACCTTCAGTTGTCCTTTGTTAGGACCTTCTGCTGATGCAAGAGAAGTACTAAGGAGAGACTGTTTTGTGAGTTGAACCCGTGATTTTCTCTTTTCTTAGAGTTTTTTCTCCTTTTCAGAATTTCACCATTCCTGCAGGTGACATGCTGATGTTGTCGCCGTATTGGTTGCACAGGAATCCAAAATATTTTCCTGACCCAGAAACGTTCAAACCTGTAAGTTGTCACTCTCAGTGTGGGTATTTTGCTGTCTTTTCTCCTCTTCACTTATTTCACAACAAAAGCACATAGACAAATTGGCTTAAAGTTGGGTATTCCACAGAGGATACAGAGAAGATGTGCACAAAAAGGAGGAGCCTGTAGGAATAAGCAAGACTTTAAAGTTCAATTATATATTCCAAATAATATAGTACTACTTTATATCACTTTGATCTCGATTGAAAGCCCACCATGGAAAGATCCCAGTGATTTCACTGTTGAACCCAACTCCAAATACTCTCCTCTCCCTGGCATCTGTCTGTATAGCTCATCTCCACGTATTTACCCAGGCTCATTGGTCTTTCCAGTCAGATGATTTCTGGTAAGCATTAGCTCTGCTAATTCAGTAGCTCATCTAGAGTTTCTTGATTATTATTCCACTCCAGGTGGCCGTGTGGGCAGGCTTGTAACTGCTCTTTTTAGCACCATCCGCTGTAGAACGGTTTGTCTTTTTTATAGAAATACATCAAGGAGTAATTTAAACAAAACTTCCCTTCTAGCAAACTCTTCACCAATTTGAAATCCCTCATAACAATTCCTGTCTGTTTGAAACCCTCAGCAGAAACCTTGATGCAGCAGCTTATTTCTTTAGTAACTTTATTCCTAAAAAGCAAGCTGGCTTATTTTTTAGAAACTCACCCTTTTTCCACAAGGAATGGGTCAGTACCCCTTGGACATTGCCATTCCAAATGGTATCGCCTAGCTTCATCACCATGGAGGGTTTTTTTCTTGCTTTTATTGGATTTTGATGCTAACAGGTTTCCTCTTCAGAAAGCTGAACGGCCCAAGCTGAAAAAAATCCAAAATAAACAAACACAAGATTACATCTTCTCTAAGACAGCTTCATCAGAGGAGTTAGCCACCATAAACTTGACAGGGTGTTACTTGAAGGCCTTCATAGAGTTGCACTGAGTTTCTGGAGGCTGGTATAGTTTGTCACCCAGCATTCAAGAGATTTACTTCTGTCAGTGTCACCCACCCAAACTTTAGCCGATATTGCTTTGCTCCTCGTGTTGTTCCTTTTCTCTTAAAGCAACTCAGGATGGAGCAAGGAGCCGTCTGGGTACAGACAGGCTGTTTTTGTTGGGAAGAGTTCATTTTCTCCCACACTGGCTCGCCCCTGAGAATGGGGCTGTGCAATCCTTGCCTTTCTCTTGTGTGACAGCTCACACACCTTGCATTTATCTGTGCACGGCGTCTTAGAAATGGTTTGTGTGCAAGACGTGCATGAGCCGATTGTGTGCTGTGATACAATTTTGTGGCTGAGGGAAGGTACTGGTTGAACATTTGCTTTGAATGTGCATATATTTAACAGGAGGAGGTCGCATTTTTATAGGCATTTCAACAGCTCAAGACGCAGGATTTAGAAAAACGGGAAGGTATAGGAAGAATGCTTTAGGGGTGATTTGAAAACCTCTCCAGCACTAAGTATGTTTCCAGTGGGACCCTCATTTCTTTCCCTGAGTTGGTGCTGACTTTTAAATCCAGACTGTAACATTAACAGGTTGAATGCAAAAAATGGCATTAGTGCAACTTTGTATTGAGGATTAGCTGTCCAAGGTCATTTTTAGCCTGGAGAAATAAAGTTAAGCTTTATTTATATAAGGCTGATTTGGAAAAAAAAAGTTTCTTCCCACAGGATCGTTGGAAAGAGGCAAATTTAGAGAAGAATGCTTTCTTGGACAGCTTTGTGGCATTCGGAGGAGGGAAGCATCAGTGTCCAGGAAGGTCAGTGAAACAGCTGGGGTTTATTTATTCCCAAACCCTGCAGAGAACAAGTCTCTTGAACTGGGCTCCTCTTACACTTGGAGATAAAGTGTTTTCATTGCTTTGCTCTTTGGCAGTCCCCTCATGTTCAGTATTATCTGGACCTCGTTTAAACTGATTTGAAAGTGGTTTCATTCCTGGAAAAGACAGGTTAAGTCACAATGTAAATGCAGAATGTGAGACTAGCGTATCAAGGGATATCCTCCAGGGAGGAAAGTCAGCCTAGCTCTGCTGCTGCTGAGGCACCTTTTCATCAAGGGAGAATCGTTCCACTTACAAACATGCCAGTTTGCAGACACAGACTTTTCGGTTGCCATAAACCAGTTCTAAACTAACCTAAAGAACATTTCTCTGGTCTGAGACTCTTTTTCCATCCTCTATGATACCATTGACATCTTTGCTAATCTTCAAATGTCTTAACTGTCTCCTGTCTGTTTAAATCTTGCCTTTGCATTAAGGCCCACGCAATTGTATGATGGCTTAAATTGCAGATCCTGTCTCCCTTCACTTCTCTAGCAATGCCAGCCTCGATGCTTCCTGCAATCCTTCTGCTGTTTTCTCTGCTGTCCCTCTTCCTGGAACAAGTCCCAGAGAGCCAGCTGCTCCTCGTTTCTGTGTTCAAACATCTCTATGCTCAATTCTCTGCCTTCAAAACCTGGTATTCTCTAGGAAGCAAATAACCAAGAATCCCTAAAACTGGTCAGTTTAACTCAAGAGTCCCATGTGAAGTGAGGAATCCAGAGGGTATTGCAGAGGATCTGCATTCTTGAATATGCACCCTATAGCAGGCTGGACATGAGCGTCAGATAAACTTTGTGAAGACATTAAAGACATAAACAAAATGAAAAAACCTGCATTCACCATTTAGGCTTGCCAGAGGAAAGTGCTCACTCACTGCCGTACCTCCGTGACTTGTAACATATTCCTAAGCTAAATATGAGCACAGCCTCATTCCTAGCAAGGGCGACAGCAGAATTCACAAGAGGCATCCGCAGGTACAGGACAAGCTGCAAAAAAATGTTTCTGAAAGCTGCTTGTTTATATATACTGACCTATTTCTTTGTTCAGGCTGTTCTCTGGAATTTGATAATATCTTTAAAATAAGTTTGTGGTTAGAAAGAAGATGATAACATTTCTACATAGGCAACGGATGGAGAATCTTTTTCTTGCTGACAGACAAAAAGTCCTTTCAAACCCTTTGGCAGTCCACATGGTAAACACACCTTCATGTTTTTCAGCAATAATTCTAAAAGAATAATGTGGTGGTCTTTAAAGAAAGGAAATTAAATCAAGGGATGTATCTAGATCCCAGGGTGCAGATTTCCTTGGTATGACTGAATGAAACAATGATATGTCAAGTTTAAGATGCATTTTCATTTAATTCACTATTGGGATTTATAAATGAAATGTATGAAACATTTAATTTCTCCATTGCAAAAGTTCATCATGAAATTAAAAGCTAATTTAATCAAAATGAAAGCTAGAAAATATCTTACTTGTCAAATATTCTAGGAAACTGACATGGGAAGAGCTCCCACAAAGCCATTTCTGTGCCATCTTTTTTACCTAAAGGAAAATTTGATGGCCGTGAAGCTACTTTTGTCTAACCAGGTGATTATTGCCTGTGCTTATCTTGCATGGCTCCGTCTGTTGTCTCCTGTCTTATGCTGACATTGTAAACCCTTCAGCATGATTTCATTCTCGGACTCCATTTACTGCAGGACATCAATCCACAGCTGGGCTCCTGGGTTCCAGCACAACACCAATACGTAACAGTGCGTTGGGGGCAAGATTTCAGAAAGCACATCTTTGTCAAACCCCCTTGTCACTAAATAAAATGGGAAGGCATCAGTGACTCAGAGTTCTAGGGGAGGCTCTAGGACTCAGTCATGAATACGAAAGACAGGTGGGAACTATGGGGCATTTAGCGGCAAGACAGCTTGTGGCTTCTGCTCAGTACGATGTGCCGTGGGAGAGAGGGACGCGCTGGGACTCCTTTCACTCCTGGGCTGTCCCTCTGGCCACACTCTGGCAATATGTGTGTTGCTTATCATCCTTGTGTCTCAGCATCTCTGCAGAGCAGAATAACAACAGCAGTCTGTCTGAGATCTAACGGTGGGAAGTGCTGCAGTCAGTTATCGGTTATATCCATTGCCGCTCGGACGATTGCAGATGAACCCCACCACGGGTACAGAGGTGTCAGAGCTGGTCAGCCTGCATCTGGCTGTGCTTGTGTTTGAAGGACAGACCTCTGCAAATGCAGTGCTTCCACTTTCAGGGCAACCTGGAGGCATTTTGGCATTTGGTTGTATCATGGTACATCCATGGCAAACCAGTGAGGATGGCTCAGAGTCAGGACCTCAAGCACCAGGGGTCCAGGGCCTCACTCTGCAACCAGTGCAGTGACCGTGAGGAGCCCACCTTTGTACGGTACTGCCGGCATGGAGTTTGGGCTAGCAAGTCCTGCCTGACCTGAGCTAACTTCCATTGAAATATCTCTGCACTGCATTCCCCTGAGCCCAAGGTCACCAACAGCTCCCTATCTCAAGGTAATTCCAATGTGAAATCACAGAGATAATCTGGGTCTGAAGCTACGCCAAAACAAACAAGCATCCTCCCACTCCGGAGCATAGGGCGGCTCAGTGCGCAGATCTGGATGGCTCTGCAGGAGTTAGCTTGGGTCTCGTGGGGCTTATTAGCTTCCTCTTCACACCTGCCAGGCCAAATCCAGGCTGACGCCATGTGCAGTCATGTTGCCTTCTCCCCAGTGAATTCCCCAATAGCTGTTTTATCCAAGTTTTCCAGCATATCTCAGATAATGGAAAATAAACTGCGTTAGAAAAGCAAGGTAGTATTACTATTTTAACTAGGTGTTTAAGACTTATGTCTGAATTCTGAGTAATCCCATGACCTGGCATAGGTGCATGCTAGTGCCTGAATGCAGAAAACTCTTGTACATATCAACATTAAAAACAATAGCCTAGAAGAGTTCACCTGCAGTTATATGAAATCTTCTCTGGACTGACTAAGACAGACCTTTCTGAGAGTGTTACAGAAAAAAAATCATGCCCTTGGGTCTCATACTGCATTCTAATGCTGACGCATTAAATAATAACTCCCGCTGTTACAGCTACTCTGACGTCATCAGGCTCCCAGCTGTATTATATAACTTTATATAGCACAATTAGTCATATAGCCTTTTCTATATTTGACTGTTTTCTCACTCCTGTGAAGTTATTTCAAGTCAGCAAGCGTTAGAAGAACATAAATGTTTACACAGTGGAAAAAACCATAATGATAAGGGGCTGTTTTAAAATAGGGTGTCAGAGGAATACTGTCGGTCTAACGTTTCACCGGAAAGAAGGGGCAGCCGCTACATTCATGTTCTTCGCTGAGTAATGAAGCTGAACAAAGCTACAGCATATTTTCCTACTGAAGATAAACTTTCAGGCAGAACTAAAGCATGGAATGTAAAATGTGTCAAAGACACCCTGTTTCTTATCTGATGATAACACAGGTGTCAGGCTGGACAGCCAACGTTTTCCTCCCTTTTCTTGCAGGTGGTTCGCTATCATGGAAATCCAGTTGTTCGTCGTGCTATTCCTATACAAATACGAATTTGTGCTTTTGGATGCAGTACCAAAGGAGGTAAAAGATCCATGCATTTATATAGCATTCCATGTCTTTATATCCTTCATTCATCACACTCAGCTGAACAACCATGCTCAACTGTGGTTATGTATAATGAAGCAAAATTTTGAGAGGAGTGTTAATACAACATGTAATTAATAACTCGATTTTTGTTTTAAGTCAGAAAACCTAGAGTAACTCCAGCAATGTTAGCGGAGCTGCGCTGTCTATATAAGAATGCACCCACAAGAGTATTTTGTCTCATCATTGCCTAAACATTACAAGAGATTTTATAATTGCTTTCTGCCACTCACAAAACCAATGAATATGGAACTGGATTATTAATACTTTAAAGATATGAAATCAGATGCAGCACTCACAGTGCTCTTCCACTACATATTCAGTGGTGGAAGAGAAATGATTAGGGTAAGACTGTAGGAGCAACTGTGACACAGAAGGATTTTACCATTAAGGGAGAGTGGCACGGTCTCCACTCTCAGCAGTAATTTCGTTCCCTATTTGCACTGTGTCCCTTCCACTGTCCAAAAATCCTTGTTCCTCACAAACATGGACTGCTGTGAAGTCAGCATGTCTGCCCGTCACAACCTAAACATGACAAACATGCCTGTAGCTAAATTACCAAGGAGAAGAGGGAGAAGTTTAGCATGGAATGGGCTTTGTATGATTGCCCTTTAGGCTTGAGGTTGGAAGCTGGGAGAATTTAATTCCTCTGCTCTCCTTGAAGAATGTGAGATGTTGATCTCAAGCAGTGGTAGAAAGTCCACCCAGAATATGGAGGAAGGTTGCCTCTTCCTGACCGATGGTGTGTTGCCACGCCAGCTCTCACTGGAGTTGATTGTAACTTGGGTCTGCACCCACAGGCAATTATGCTGGTGAAGATATTCAAAACCATTAGACTTTCTTAAGATCTCATGTGTCATCTTCTGTCAGAGTGAGTGGAATAAAAAGTAATTATGAAGGCTCTACTCGATGGCTTCAGCAAACCCAGGAAATACTCTCAGTATTTGGTCTTGGTTCTCTAAGATCAAGGCTCCAAGAATATGTTTATATCTTAATATTAAAGCACGATTAACTGAACTAACTTAAATGTTTCTACTGATTTTCTTCTTTTTGCAGAGCCCTTTACATTTGGTGGGGACACAGCAACCCATGGCACCATTCCGGGTCCAGTATAAATGCCGAGAATGAAAGCTGCCCAGCAATAACTTACCTTCTTTTGCCAGCCACCCCTGGCTGGATGGACCACTGAGCTGCTTCCCTGTCCTATATCTTCATATAGGTTCTTTGCCTTAACAGTTCTTAATTTCATCTTTAAATGCTGTTAATACCCTGTGTTGTGGTATGCCATACCAGTATAGTCCTATCTGTGCTCCTCATCTGATTGCCTACCTCCTAGTATTTAAAAATCAAGCTCTCCTGCTGCATTCATAATTTGTGGGCCAATTATTCACAGACTTTGCCAATCTGATATACTAAACTCACCAAACAGACATTCAGGACAAAAAGCTGCTATGCTTGGAAATCCTGCATGGAAGCTGTGCTAGAACCAGCGGAAAAGCAGGTCCCTTGGGCCAGGTCACTGCTTCCTGAAGGTCTCTTCGAACCAAGGCCAAAGTGGTGCCTTGTGGTAGCTCCATACAGCTCCCTGGTGCTGTTGTGCACAAAATACAGGACAGTGCTGAGCAGAGACCTCCAGATCAGATCTGCAGCCCCCATAAACTAGCATCACGTATCACTAGCATTACATATCGCTGCCTGTGTAGGTAGGTGAAGATCCGGTCTGCCCTGCCTACAATCGGTGCCAACTTTTTGCAAATAAAATGAATTTGTAATGGAAAAATTGCAGGGGTCTGGGGTCTTGTTCCACTGGAGCACCTAAAATTTCTACTGAGCTTTATTTGCTCCACAGGATTCAGAATCGGTCCTTGCATGAATATGCAATGAAAGTTTGATCATGATGTTTGGCTTCTAATAAAAAGCGATTGCAAGAAAAGCTATTGCTATTCATTAGACTGGTTGTCTAATCTCTAGAACACTTTTGCTTTCCCTTTAACATGACTTACTTATGGAACAAATTGCACAAATCTAAAAACATTTAATCCTATAAAGAATACCTAGTAAAAGTTGTTCAAAGAAGCTGCCAAATAAGTTCAGATACCAACACTTTAACTGCTGTCAAATTTCATATACGATAATAGCTGGCAGGTATTTTTAGTCTTTTAAGTAAAGATTATTCATCATTTTAGAAGTATTCGCAAAAAAACACAAATGGACTTTCAACAACAGTAAAAACTATGGGAATAACATCCATAGGAAAACAGCTTATTGTATAATTCATTAAATGGTTGGCTTACCTCATTTATGGATACAACAATTTAACAAACTTTAATGATTTATATGACTGGAAAATGATTCGTCCAACTTCTAATTTAGCTCATAATGGTTAACTCAGCAAGAGTTGCACTCTTAACTACTGTTTCAGAATCTCTTCCATAACTGAAAACTATTCCCTTGGTTTTCATGTGTAGTCATTACCTAAAAGTGTCTATTTTAATTTTAAAATTTGGAAATGTCCACAATATCTGTTCAGGTATCTTGTAGTTTTGCGAAGATTTTTTTTTTTTCCCCAATGTACATTTCTTTTTATTTTTCTGTTTAATTAATTTTGGGGTTTGGGTTTTTTTGTGTATATGTGTGGTTTTGTTTTGGGTTTTTTTCCCCAAAAGAGGTAACTCAAAAAAGCAAAATTCTGTAATGGCAAACTTGACTTTAAACTAAAAAGGTCCCTAAAGGAAAGTATAACCTGAAGGTCAGCATCAATTTGGTTAGAATGAATAAAAGCCACCTGAAGCCAACTAAAACTGTGAATATTTAATAGTACATCACTGCAGATGGCTTCTGATCTATCCTAAATACGAGCACAATTCTGGTGTAGTTTCTGCATATTGCCGAGTTTTTCAGATTTGGTGTGATCTTGTGTCTGGTGAGAACTACATTCTGCCTCCTTCCACATCCTGCAAGAACAGCCTGTGGACTATGATAAAAAAAAACCACATTCCCCCCCATAAACAGAGGAGCAGAGGAGCAAAAGCAGGTGGGGACCCTGAGCAATACCCTGTCCAACACCTCCCAGGGCTGGCCGTGTCCAGGGGTGACACCCAGCAGCAGCAATGGGAGCAGCTCCCACCTTTTGGGCTGAGGGGGGAACACTGCCTGTGGGTATGGGACGCATTGTGGGATGCAGGGGAGGAGCAGCTTGTGGTTGCACAAGACTTCTTATGGGATGTTTAGGGGAGGAACCAAAGGTTGGGAAAGGGAGGGATCAAGGTGGGTTGGGGAGGAACAAATGCGGAAAAAAGAGGGATAAGGGGATAAAAGAGGTTAGTTGCATGTAGACAGGCTGCTGACCAGTAAGCTTGTCTGGCTATGCCCTGTGCCTGATCAGTGCAGTCCATCCTGTCTTCTCCTTATACTCTGTTTTTAACTCTTTTCCTGTGTGATGGGCTCTCTTGTGTGTGCACGTGTGGGTATGGGGGTGTGGGTGCAGCAACGGGCGTGGGACCGTGGGTCGGAGGGGCCATGGGTCCATGGTGCCAGCAGCTGGAGGGAGTATGGGTGTGCATGCTGTGTGGGTGCGTTATGTCAGTGTCTGATCACTACCAGAAATCCAGCCAGGCTAGCTGGCGGGTAGGTGAAGTGTGTGTCTCCCAGGGTGAGGCATGTGGAGGAGCTGGCTGCTGGAGGGATCAGGCTAGCTGCTGTAAAGCCCGAGGCGTCTGGGGGTTGACTGAGACCTGTTTGTACATGTGTGGGCATGGGTGTTTCGCTGGGCAGGAGGCAGCCGGGGAGAGCGAGGATTCAGGACCAGCTACTGGAGGGATCTGCATTGTATATGTGTATTTTTATAGATATTTTGCACTCACAGACCTTCACCCTGATCTGCCAGAGAAGGAGAGGCCATTGGTGCTGCTTGTGTGAGTGCTGAGTGTTTCTGTCTGTGTTGGCCAGTGGGGCCATCAGTGCATTCACATGTGGTACGTGTGTGTTTGTGCAAGAGCCTGCTGGGAATCCATGCGCAGCCTCGCTGCAGGCTGGACCCAGGGGCATGGAGCTGCAGCAGCCTCGCCTCTGTCAGGTTACCGGATTTAGCAACTCCCTAGCAGGCTAGAATCAATCATGAAAATATTTGTCCCGAAAGGCAGGACATATTTTTATTAAAGTGTAGGCTTTTGGCAGGAAAGAAGTACCTGTTCTTGACAGCTAGAGAGATACCAAACAAGCAGGAGAAGAAAAGTGGGCTTAACTCTGGGATCCCATCGTTGTGTGACTGCCCTGTAGCGGATGACAGCTCCATGCACTTGCCATACTTTCCTAGGTAGAAAAAAACAAGGGAGGTGGATTAGTAAAGCCACATGATGGTCAAGTGATAGAGCTAAATGGAGTCTTCTACCTGGAAATAATTCAGAAGATTCTGGGGGAGGGAAAGACAGCACTTTCCCACTGGGACAGGGTTAAACGGGTATTAAAAGGTCATCACGATACTCTACTCAGGACTGGATTAACAGTATCTAAGTTATTCTTTAAGTGTTTGTCCAGTCTGCTTTTAAATGCAGCAGTGCTGAATTTCCATGGGGCATTTGTCCTCTTACCTGACTCTCCCTATTGTTAGAAAGCTTTTCTACATATCAGTAGGAAGAGTCAGAATGAGGTTTTTATTCATACTACCACCACAGCAGTAGTATCCCCTCTCCACAAGCAGGAGATTTTTAACCCAAAAAGAAAAAAAAATTAATGTATCTTGACCTATCTTTGTATTTCTACCTTCTGGATGAAGTATGGATGTTAAAGGAAATGCAGTGGAGCATCCCTCAAAAGCCATCTTAGAAAATGCAATTGCTCCTCCTCCACACATGTCATCAGCCAGGTCTATCTGAGCAAAATCCATGGTTTGGGCTGGCCAGGTCTATATGTTGGTATTCATTTATATTGGGATAAGTAACTCCCATGTCTAAGCTAGTGAAACAAATGGTAGGAGTCTTCCTAAAAAGAGAGAGGAAATCTAGAGTTATGAGAAATGAGCAATAAAACTCTTTAAAATCAAATTTTCTTTCATAATTTTTGGACGTTATTGTATATTAAAGAGTTTCAGGAAAAAAACCACAGAAACTATCACATTGCAGCCAAACCTTTTTTGATACTTTGGAGGAAAGTATAAACATTTTCCCTGAAATCATAAATTTCCTGTGGAAATAAAATATTTGACAGAAAACTCATCAAAACATTTTGAGTTAAAATTGTTGACCTACTGCAAGTGAATCTTCTCCAGTCAGCATGGTGAAAAGATAACCAGCCGTATCAGCAGCCACGTCCCAGAATAATCGCAACCTCTTTTATGTCTTCCCTCTAATGAGCCTCACTGAAGGCCCCTCTCATCTGTACTTAGCAGTCAAGTGTTTCAAGTGGTCTCTTTCTTTACGCTAGTAACGGTATTCGATATCTTTTCTGTGCCACTGATTGTCACAGAAACCAGAAGTTTAGGCTTAGCACGTATACCTCCTGAAAATAGATATCTGGGGACTGAAAGATATGGCTGTAGCCATTGAGAGGTAAGCTAAAAATAATGACTTCCTTTCGAAAAGAAATTAGTTCTAAGGCCCTAGCTCTGTGCTGTGCCTAAGCACTGTGCCAAGCAAAACTCGACTTAAGCATGTGTTTTGCTTTAAGCAAACACTTAAAATGGATTTGCAGAATAAGAATGGATTTCAATTTAAGCACAGGCTTAAGTGCTTTGCTGAACCAAGGTCCAAATGCCTCAGTTGCTAACCTGTTGTTTACAGTTAGTCTTGGCATCTTGTTGTAATTTTAAAGATATACAAGGGTTAGTGGAAATACTGAGGTAGCTTTGTTCATTTTAGGTGAAACTGGCAAACGTTAAGGGCTTTAGGCAAAATATTTTTTTAAACGGTCACATTTATAGCATAAACCAGTAGGCTTTATTGGCAGCAAGCATCTTTCCGAGTTATTTGGTACATTCTAAATGTGTGGCTCATCGCATGGCAAAAAATATTTCCTCTCCACCGGTATGCAGTGGAAGGGGAATTAGACACAAGAAAGGCATTCAAAAGATAGCAAGCGTTTAATTGAAAGAACCAAGGAGAAGCTTTCATCACGTAGCCATTCTGGATGAC